CTCACCCGCCCCCTGTTGCAATAATAATCCATTAACGCGATTACAATACCCCGCTGGCTCGATTAGCAGTAAATACTGATTAATCGCGTAATTACGGGCGCAATAGTCGGTCGGCCGACTAATCATGCAATAAATATCGCGGCGAACAAACGGTTGCGCTACAAAGTACCCGGGAGCACAGTCAGGGCTCGCCGGTTCGATTACTTCAACCGGTTTCGTACGAAACACCGACGGCTGGTTCCGGTGAGTCAAACGGCCGGCCGCGAATTATGACACGAACGCGCGCGCCTCCGGGCATTGTTTTCGATTAAAAATAACGATGCGAGCGCCGAGTCCGTTCTATGTATACCCCGGCCGCACGCACAATCGTTCTAGAATCCAGATTATCCGTAACGGTCGATGACGCGCCGCGTTACTTTCATAGAGCGCGTAACAAGCCGGATATTTACAATTCGTCTCTGGGTGGATACGCGTACCGCCGGGAGGTCGCTTGACGTAGAGGATCAGGAATCCGCGTGTCGTTCGCCGGTTTTCATCCGTTACCATTTCGTTTTTTCGCTGCATCGCACTTGGACGTTTTTCATCGGAGGCATCCGACGTTTCTGAATCGCTTCGTTTAGAATTCCGAGCTGATCCCTCGAGGTGAAACTGGTTTTCGCGTTTCGAATGCTTGCGACGCGCGTGATTATTGACATCTCGGAGAATCGTTATTTCATTAATCGGTATTCATTCGTTCGGAATAATATTCTTCGGACGGTTCTGTTTGCGATCGAGTCGCGAAGACGGATGCTTCCTTGAGTTACCGAGGAGATTGATGGAGTACGCTAATCGAGTTGCAGATCGACGGGAATATCGATAGATATTTGGAGTTTCCGTAGACATTTCTGATAGTCGATTTCACTGTGGTTCTAACGTCGAGAGATAAGCACGCTAGAGGCTGCGTTCACCTCGCCCAATGCCACCGATTTTTCTGTCTCGATCGATCGGATCGGGAAATCCAGGCGTGCAAACTGCGCAAACAATCGTATAACACCGTAAGCCAACACCGTAACCGCAGCGATAAATAGTGCGTATCTTTCTGTTGACAGCTGTGTGTTCGCGCGGAATTAGCATCCGCGGTATTGCCGATGTATCGGAGACCTAGGAACAGAACAAACACGGAACTTCGGAGATACCGATCTCGCGATAAATTAGCCTGCTCGCGCGTAAATCGCGGGCCCTGCCTCCTCCCCGGTGCCGCTGCGACGTCGTCCGTTGACACGATAGTTGATAACAACCGGCGCCTCTGAGTTGCTTCGGAGTAATTGTAATAGGTAAGATGATCGAGAAGTGTCTCAATCGTTTGAGAAATTGGATAACGCGACGCGAAGAAAATAATAGCGAATCGTTGAATCTAGAACTAACGGACAGGTAATTGTAATAGGTAAAATGATCGAGGAGTGTCTCGATCCTTCGAGAAATTAGAGAAATTAGAACTATGTCTTCTCTCGCAATTATTAGAAACACAGTGGATGGTTCTGATTATTGTAAATTCCAATGGAACACTATTCTTTTTAGTTATCAAAGTATTCACTCGTTTCTTCGCTTGTTCTAGGTCAGAAAGCCTTTCTCTTTATAGCCTCTGAATATATTGTACAATCATGTCAGACGACGAAACATTAATTTTCTCAATTGTTCTTTCCCAGACTTAACATCGCTGGCTTCCGCGACTCAAATATAAGTCAATTGAAATCTTAACAAGCCTGTAGATAGTAGTATACGCTCAGAACTGGCTGAAAAGTCAAAAGTCAACGTGTTAATTTCTCGAGTAATTTGCGTCGCCTTTCGAACCGCGAAAATACGCGCGCGCTCGCTCGCCTAAGTGGGAATTATTAGACGAGTTTCGGGAAAAGCGTGAACAATGCGGCTCTGTGTAATTGAGGGTGACGTAATGTTTCGCGATGGTCAGGGCGCCGCTTGCGCAACTTATCTTTCATTCATGGCAATGCACGCGGCGCGAGGCTACGCGAGGCAGGCTCGCGGCGTCACTTTCATCCAGAAAACTGTAATAGCTTGCCTCTGGCGCACTGCTATCAGCACAGGGTAAGTTTTTCGCGAACGATACCATCGCGACACGCGATCGATCGCCTATTCACGAAAGAAACGTCAACTCTTCGCGATTCATTCGACTAGTTGAGTCGTCGGTGAGGTAATTTCCGCTACAACTATTCGAATGTCATGAAATACATGATTAAAGTGCATCAACCCTTTGCGGACGAATGACATTTTACGAATAGCAAGTTGCAAACAAATGGCTTAACTACTCGGACAGCAAGAAATCAGCATATATCTAATTAATATCTAATTTAAGGGTTAAACTACACCTGACTCTAAGAGCATCGATGCAATTTCCACGGTGAAAACCTAGAAACATTTCGGAAAGGGTTCACACTAACCCACGTCCAATCGATTACTGTTGAAATTCACTTGACACCAGGTTCACGAAACCAGTGTGTGCCCCGATTATCTATTTTTACACCCCCAACTTCCGAGATCCCAATGAATCAATTTTTCTAAGAACAGAGAGAGAAACTAGCGTTACAAAGTCTGCACTTCCTTTTGTTCCTTCAACTGCATATCAATCCTTATATCGTCCGATTAATCAATCGGCCGATACTCGTATCTCCTTTCCCCGTTTCCGAGAAAGACTTGATTGTTTGGTTCGCCTGGTAATCGATTATTTAGCCGGTTTCAAGGGAAACAGGTGAATCGAAAGTACCGGCGCGTTTAGTGTTAACAAGAGGATCATTCGACTCGCGGGTAGAGCCGCTCGCGGAACGCGCGAAAGCTGAGACATCCCATCTGGCGGCCGGCTCGAGTTTATTTTCTTTGGTGAAGCACCATCGGCCGAATCCTCGAGCGACGAACGGAGCGCGCGCTATTCGCGTGATCTCTGTTTGCTCGTTACCGCGATCCGCGTAGCCCGTTGCTCGCAGGCGCCGAGGAAAAACATTTTCCCGGCCGTTCCTTCCGATCGGCCGCGCCTCGCGACGCTGTCGAACTGTAAACGTTAACGAAAGGAATGTCGCGGGCATTTCTCGCCGACACGCGCGCGCGGGCAGCGCGCGAAATTACCATTTTTATCTCGAAAACCTTAACGACGTGTTGCGAAATTAATGAAACGTTGTGTACCAACGTTGCTCACGATGACATCATCGGCCAGAAAAGCATCAACACGGCGATTCGACGCGCGTGCTTCGGCCGAGCGCGATCGGACGTGCGTTTCGAGGAGAATCGGGTATCGGCCAGCCGGTTCGCGGCGTTGGGAGCACGCGTTCTCTTAAAATAGGCCTTATCTTTCAGCGCGCAACCGGAAGAACGACGACGATGGACGCCGAGATCATCGGGAAATCTACCTAAACCGCGAGCCTGTTTGCAACGGCGGCGAACGCCGTGCACGTGTGTATTTATTAATAGCAGCATCTTAACGAGACATTCCTTTCCGGTGATATCGCGTTAAAAACGCCCCGGTAGCCGTGAAATTTTAGCCGTGTCGGTGCGCCGAGACCTAGATTCGCCGTTATTGCTCCGGCGACGCTCAAAGCAGCCACGATCGCTCGAGTCCGAGTGCTTCCACCCTGATGACATAACGGTCAGGGGACGATATCGCCGGCTCCAAAGTTCGATCGGTACGATTTACTTGATTTCGGTGTGTGGGTTCGTCGGTATCGTCCGCTCGACGAATGGTCAATTAACCTCGCCCAGCTAGGGGTCAATCGCGTTAAAGGCGGACCAGATAGGCAGGTGCAGAGGCTCTAGCGCGGGACGTTCGCGTTGGTCCGCGTGCATCTACGGAATACGATACGCGACGGCGTTAGCACCGCATATTTTTAGCAGGTGACGACCTGCGGCGGATTAGCACATTTCCATTCGATACAGCCTCGGGTCCTACGTGTTCGCTTCGGTTAGATTGTTTCGTTAGAGCGCGTGGACACGAAAGGACACGCGCGACGCGAGAAGAAAGGATTAAAGTGATGAATCCCGAAATAGCACGAGTCGAGCGACGTTTCGAGGAAGTCAATCTTGCTTTTCACCTTCGCTCGCTAATTCGTTACCTATTTCCTTCGCTCTTGCTGCAGCCGTTAGCTGCGCGCACGCCTTCGTCGCGTTTTTAGTGTTATTCTTATTATCGTTGATAGGTTTGAGTAAGCTGAAAACGATTGCATCGGTGACTCATGTAGGTAACGTTAACGGGAGGAGTTGCGATGTTTTGTAATCGAACGGTTCAATTGCTAACGAAGATTACCTGAAGTCGGAACGGCGGGTGGACGCGGTAAACAGTCCGGCTTGGTGCACGCTGGCTTCGACGGGCCGTCCGTCACGGTCTCCGGCCTGAAAACCGCTCTGAACCGCGAGAAACAGGAACAACACTTGCCCATTTTGCGTGTTACACTCTTGCGAGGCGGCGGAGCTCGTGCCACAGGTGTTTCCGGCGATGTCGGTGCTTCAAGTCCGCGCGGCTCGCGTCTGACATTCGCACGTGTACCGCGGTACTAGATCTCTCATCTCACTCCGCGGCAGGGTTCGGTCTTTCGGAGACCAGAGCGTTCGAGTGATGCGTTGACTGGTTCGGTATCGCGTGGTTACTCTCAACCTTGCGCGCTTCTGTTCAATCCGGTCGATGAATACTTGAATCCCGCGGAAATAATTGTCCGATCAAGGGCGCCTGGTACAGACTGTCGCTTCACCGGAAAAAAAGCAAACAGACGCCGGAGATTTACTTAATCGTCGATGTTAACGGCAACTTTCGATCGCGCTCAAAGAACGATTTATCTTGTTACGCGAGGAGAAAATAACTGGCGTCGAAAAGTGAACTAATCGGTGGCGTTGCGACACATTTCAAACCCGAGTGGCGATACGGACGACAAGTCGTGTCGATACGTTCGCAAGTAAATGAGCGACTGTCAGAGAATCAGCTGGCAACGATGAGCGATACCTCCCAGCGGCCTGCCGTCAACTTTTAGGCGACCGCTAACAATAACGGTGTGCCTTGTACCTTTTTACGTAGGTTGCTTCCTTACCTTGGAATTCAATCGGTTTGAGTAACATATATTAATGTATGGATGCGGTGTGCAGTGGACGACAGTCGCGTTTAAATAAAATTGACGCATTCGACTTGAACTTGGGACTGAGGAGTAAAGACATGCTTTTATTAAAATGAAGTCAACCTTCCGTTCCGTGAATTTGTCAAACATCAGAACTATTTAAAGACCGCTGGCTCTAAAGAGAAAAAGTGTTACTCATGCCTTTCACGGGAAGTGAATACGTATCGGGCAAACTTATGGTACAAGCATGTCCGACACGTGTTCGTGAATGAGCACAACGTATTATACCCATGAGTATCACAGTTTTATTCATAAAAGAATATCGATATTAAATGATGCAAACTGATTACTTAGCATCATACGTGTACACGATGTATTAAACATACTACACCGGTGAATTAAGGACCTTAGATTGTATCGAACTCTGTGTTGGTAGTGGGAATCGTAGACTTGTCCCTGTTGTCTTCTATTTTTATAAGAGTTTGAAATATATCATCTATTAATACGTATAAGTATCTGTACTCGTAATAGCCAGATTCGTTCTGCAATTAATTTCAATGTAAAAGACAAGTTTATAAGCAACATACATGTAATATTCATGGTTACTTACTTCTTGCACTTCTAAGGACACTGTACCGCGTCTTCGTATACCTTGGACATAGAATTGCATTCTCATGTGTTTCACTCCATCTTTCGTGAAGGTTATATGACTGTAAAAGTTACCCATTTAAGCTACGCGCAATTAGAATATCATGGAAATCTTACCTCAAATGAGAACGGCGTCCACGTCGGGACTCTTCACCATAGGCTTTTATAGGTTCTCCAAGAGCATCCCTCACTTTACTATTTTTTTTACAATCTTCTAATGCTTTACTATAAACATTATTTGCACTTTTACTGGAAAATAGTTCACTAAATATTGCATAAAACATTACACCTGTAATTCCTAGACCCCCAAGTATTACAGTTAAATATGCAAAAGATTTTGTGTTCTCTTTAACTGAAAAAGAATTAACATTTAAACAGATACAAATTTTTTAATAATTCGTACAATGAATGAACATATGAAATTTACCTACTTCCGCAAGTCCAACTTGTACTCTATTCTCTTGTTCGGTGACATTAGCTTTTGTTAATTCCTTTTTTGTGCAAAATGATACACTTTGTGGAACATTGCATATTGGGTCATAATGAGAAAAGATACGTACTCTTGATAGACCAGAAATAGGTATTAATCTTCTACATGAAATATAATTTATCACTCTTATAGAAGCCATTTCCTAGAATGTTGTTAAAATTCTGCATACCTTCTGTCAATGTTCTTTATAAGATAAACTTAAAGTAACAAGCTAATATATTATTAATTACTCTGAAAACTATTTTTGATTTATACTTCACACCAAAATGTAGTTACAATCATACTTTTAATGTCATCAAGTTCATCGTACTATGAATAACACTAATAAGATCCTAACCTATATGTAATTTATCGTACACCAACGTTAACTTTCATACAAATGGTATCAACTTACAATTGAGAACTACTTCGCTCGAAGAATGTTATAGTGTTTACAGGTAAAAAGTGGTAATAAAGTTTCAGAGAAGATTAATTAAAATGTTGTTACTGTAATCCTTGATCATGTTTGGTTAGTTTATGATTTGCATATGATGCACGTTGAGATTAGGTTATGATACTATAAGACAAAACACAACATAACCTATCAAATTTATAAACAGTGTTATTTTAACTGAAGCAATTGCTTCCAACGTATCCGCAAAGAGAAACTTGAATTTTCTGATTAAAGATTAAGTAAATAAAATTAAACTTCCTAATGAAGACTGCACCACATCAAAGATTGGTAATGGTAGGCGATCGTGATGGGTAAGCATAGTAATTAGTAAATTTCAGTATTTCGTTATGATTTTAATTTTTCAGATATTACTTTGATAAACTGTAACTTAGCATCTCTAGGACATTACCTTTTTAACGTTACATTAAGTTTTAAAAATCATACAATAAAATAATCTGCTGCATAAAAATTGTAACTTCCTATATTATTATTATTATTATTATTTGTTTTAGGCTGAAAGAATTATTACGACGCCGACTGGTTGAATGCGGCTGGAGAGATCAAGTAAAATTAATTTGCAAGGAATTAATAAAAGAACACGGTCATGATATTACTTATGATAAGCTACTTTCCGTTGTTACTACCAGAGCAAGAACACTTGTTCCGGATTCTGTAAAAAAGGAACTTTTACAGAAAATAAAAAATCAACTTATTGCTCAAGAAGAAAAATTAAAAATGTAATGAACTGAGGTGTTATTTATAAGTTTTTACATTTGAAGAAAAACATCTATGACCGACAATTGTATTTGAATCCAGTATACCATTTCCATATACATTGTACAATGATGTGTGATATTATATATAATGTTAATTCATAATTCTATGGTAAAATTATAAATAAATTATATGTACTATATACATTCGCAGAAATGTTATTTAATTAATCATGGATATACTTTCTATTGAAATGTAATATAGATGAATGAATGACCTTGAGATATTTAATATTTTTAGTTGTATGGAACGGGAAGGATAATTGAAAATGAACAAAATAATTATTAATATTAAAACCGAAAATATTAACGTTAAAAAGTTATCTAAGTTTTAGATTCGTGATTTACCGTCAGATGGAGACACAACTTCAACCGAGTATAGTTCAATAACAGCATTTTCTACTCCAAGTGTGAAGAGCCGCATAGTGAAACTTTGTATCAATATTTAACTTGTAATCTTACAAGAATTACCTTATTACTTTGTAATCTGTAAAAAATGTTGATTAAAGTCAAGGTAAGAGCATCTACCGGCGAAACTAGAGCTATGACTGTTATAGTTACACTCGAATGTACATTCTAACCTTGTTTCAGACTCTCACAGGAAAAGAGGCAAGTAATTGGAAAATGTTGATATTATAAGCGTTCCATTGATTACCCATTATGTGTGTGTCATTATGTTTTGTCAATGTATACCACAAAAACTAGTAACAAAATCTTCCTCTCCAATGAGATTACATTGTCATCGAAGACTTTGTGCTCAACATATTATTAACAACTTATATATTTGAGTTCATTCACTATGCTACAGTTATCTTCTTACATACATTACGTATTATTATATCATTATGTTATATAAATAGTTTATTAAAAGATAAAAAAAAACCTACAAGTCTCATAGTTATCACGAATGTTGTTCTCATAGATTGAAATAGATATAGAACCTACAGATAAAGTAGAAAGGATCAAGGAAAGGGTGGAAGAGAAGGAAGGTATACCACCGCAACAGCAACGATTAATATTCTCTGGAAAGCAAATGTAGGTATATTTGCAAGTAGAAATATTTATACAGTTGTACAAGAGAATTTATTCTCTATAGAGAGAATTAGTATTTAATGCTTTATTTGAAATCTTGAGTAATATGAAATTCCTTAAAGCAAGGCGTTACACATAGTCCTACATTACAATAAGCGCAATAATATCGAGATTCCTTTCGCAGTCCTTTAGTCGCGCAAACCTTACATCTTCTCGTAGCATTCATCTTCTTTGGAGTCGATGGAACGTACTCTGGAAAGTGACTTTCCGTAGTCCTTACTGAATCTGACTCGCATAGTTGTTTCGGTCTCCTCGTTCCTGTTCCATCAATCACGATGTTTCAACGTTATTTATTCCAGTTTATTTTAATCAAATGCATCTTATAATTACAACGAACTTATAATTGCATTAATCGTGCCACATACTTGTGTTTTTCATATTTTGTTTTTGTTTTTGTTTTTTCTTTTTCTTTTCATTTGGGGGGGAGCAATCTTTTGATTTGAAACGTGTCTTTAGATCTAAGAAAACATTTCAGAAGGGATAAAGTGAGTAACAGGATGTTCTGTTGTTTTCTAGGAGCGATGAGAAAACGGCGCAAGATTATAAAGTTCAAGGTGGATCGGTATTGCATTTGGTACTCGCATTAAGGGGAGGCTTATAATAAACGACATTCCTCAGTTTGAAACGTGGATGTGAACATTAAGAAAAATGTACAAGATCAGCCACGAAAATATTCAGATATTTTCCAACGTTACATGCACCCTGGTGCTTTGCAAGGACTCACGATCATCTTTGTTTCTCAATGTGATTGACGAACGGTTACATCTAGAATTGAAATAAATATTTAATAAAATAATTCATCCATAGAGCCCCTAAGTGTCTCAGTTCCGATGAAACGGTAAATCGGCGGAATCGTTCGCGCTCTACCAGTTTCCTATCGACGCCGTGTCAAATCTTGGAAGCGTTTTGGTACAGAAGCGAGACCCGATCCGAATCGAAAACAATTCGCCGCGACCGAATGGAAGATCATTAACGTAATTATACAGGTGTTATCATTCTCAGTTCCTATGATATTTGCTGTTATGAGTGGCCAAGCTCCACTTTGTTTTGAAAAATCGCTGGCAGACATTGCAGTACGCGGTGGAAGTTCGCGATTCCTCGTGTTTCGATGTAATGTGCCGTAGAAGGGCGTGCTGCGTTGTAAACGTAATACCGCATTTATCGCAGAATGATCCTGGCGAATGCAAACTCCATGCCGGCGTCCTTGCGTGCGACTCTACAAATTTTATTTCTTCTTATAACTAACACTATATAACGATCAAACACATTGTCGCGTTAAATGAACGAGAAACAAAAAAAGAGGAAAAAACGAAGGAAAAAAATCAAAAACAGATAGCCGCGAATCGGGACACCGTTGTCACGTTCTTCGGTGATCATTCTATGATCGTTCCCATTAACGATCGTTCACGATCGATTAGCCATTAGTGCGTCAACTACCATTCATCTTCTATTAATGCAAGATTGTACTTGAACGAGGAAGGAAAACATTAAAGTATTGAAAGTAAACGATGTTAGTGTATCTAATCCTCTAAACGCAGAACGAAAAAACGAGCCAATACACTTTCTGTCGGTCGACCAACGAGAGAGCCACGACTTCGACGCTCGTCGGATGGAATTGATTAATTGCCGGTACGAAGTAACGAGGACTTTAACGAGCTGGAATTCTTGGACGCTTTCGATCCAGCTTCCTAGCATCGATCAAGGACCCCTTCGATCGTTCCTTAATCGTTGCGGAACAGTTTCCAAGAATCTCAGCGCTGGTTCCGATAAAAGACTAATTTCCTTGAAGACACATTCACGCGACGCGTAAGCGGAACACCCGTTAGACACCACCAAGAATCACGTTCAAGCACCCGTTCGCCGCACACACGCATACAGAACAGAATCTTTTTTTTCTCGTTTTTTTTCTTTACCCGTTTCTCATTCCTCTACGTTTCCGTGAAAAACATCAAGACTGAAGCATCCATTGTAAATCGATTTATTTACATTGCTGTAATAACATTTCAAAGCATAGTTTTATACCGCTGTCCGTTTGTTTTTGTTTTATTTTCTTTTTTCTTTTTTTTTGTTCTTTAATTCACTTACAAGCTCACAATGAAATATACGTACACGTAAACAGGATTTCTGAGAACGAAACGAAAAGTTTGCGACTATCGACAGCGTGTTCAACGATTGATAAATATCTACAGTTGATTTACGTTATCTTGCGCTCGTTTAGACGTGCGGTGCGTTTCTTTTTCCTCGTATACGCGCGTTGGCGCTCGTGAAATGAAAATATCATGTATGTATATATTATATATTATTTACCCGTGTCGTGCTTCTTCCGCGAAACTTCGCCGGAGACAATCTGTTTGTTGCAAACTAATCGTTTCTCGTAAATGCACTGAATCTCTTGGACACGATAGATGAAGTGTCGGTTCGATTGGTACGACGACGCGTTGCCTTTATCGCGCGGGACATGATACAAACTCGCACCGTCGTTCTACATACCTTATCAGCTAAGTCTTAACCGCTAAGAGAAAAACGTCTCGCACCTATCAAGTACATGTTCCGCTTGACATTCGATTCAACGCGATGAATCCGACCGAGTGATTGCTTGGAAAGTACGTCCGCCCCTTTTTCTTCGTGACACCGATCGTCAAGGTAACAGTGCACAGGGACAAGGGAAGACACGCCCACTGGCGGGGCTCCGACCGGTAGCTACGGCAACGGTAACGCCCAATTCCAACGCGTCCTTGTTATTGGTCGAGTCGTGCAGCAAAGGACGCAAGCGTAACGGAATGCGATGAAGTGGGACGTGATATTGATGTCGGATTTTTATTTCGGAGGCTTTTCATGTTTATCGAATCTCGGGAACATGGAGGTTTGGCTACTACGTTCGATGAAAGGATCGGTAGGCGGAGCATACGGTTGACTCTCCCCGCCCCTGTGCACTTTTAGCTTGGTGGTCGCCAGTACGGAGAAAAACGACGAACCGTACCTCCCTTTGCTTCCCCCCTCTCTTTCTCTCTTGTTCTCGTGCTCTCTCTTAATCGTACGTTCGCTTGTTCGATCATTCACCCGCTTTCTCAGCTTGTTCTCTCTCCTCGTCGAAGCTTCGTGCGATTCTTAACAGCGAAACGGCTACACGTTAAACCTACGTAATGCTACGACTATGTGCCTTTAATTTAACGGAAACGCATTGTCTCGTTAGAAAATGGGGTGAGAAAAGGGGAATCTCCGCGCGATTACGATCCGTCCGTTCGTCCGAACGGCGCGCCTAGCTGCCACGGATCGTGTGCACAATCGTCCAGCGAGATCGGCGAAAAGAGTTACACATACACACAACGAATCGCGTCGGCCGAAACGAACAAACCCCCTCCGATCCGCGAACGCCGCGCTGATCAGGGGGAGGGGAGGAGAATAAAAAATCGAACTTTTCCAGAAGCTTTCTCACTGCAGAAGTCCGCGTTTCCGTTCTTCGTTGATCATCAATTACACGTTAATCAAACATCACTTATTTATTGCGTATAATATTAGAATAGCGTACACATAGGACTTACAGATACAAGGTATTCGCGAGCAACGTTGATCATCAACGATCGTAACGAATCGCTACGAAGCGGGTACGCAAAACGGCCGGCCGATACGCGAAAGTTCGATTTTTCTCGATGGATCGCCGTCGCAAACGACCGTGAAAGAGAGCTCGTGAACTCCCGAGAGCGAATCTCGTCGATCCGCGGTCCTTTCCGGTTCACGTAAGTAAGTACGAACCGTCCGTTGCACGAGAGTTGGCGTAGGGCCGAGATAGGGGCAAGAGTGGTCGCGCTCGTTACGTGCTTTGTTTATAGTTTCGATCGTTTACGTGTAATCGTATCGACGAATAGTAAATTGGTAATTGAAAATGAGACGAGAGAAGATGAAAGCGAACCAATGACGCGCAAGTTCAGATTACCGGCAACTCTCGTGCAACGGACGGTACAGTTTGGGAGACGACTTGATGTCTAGCGGAACGGGGGCGGAAGGTGTCCTTCTAGTTCACAGTTTTATAGTTGTCGTCGAATGGTAGTGAATTAGTCATCGAAGATACAAGAGGTTAAGGAACGGAACCAATGGAGAATTGAGCGAGACGGAATGGAAACTCATCAATCAGCCGAATTCCTGAGTCTAGCCATCAAGTGGTCTCCTAGCACTTGGTGGAATTCGCAAAGTAGTAAGATTCGCTGGTCTTTCTCGATATGACGGCACTCGTCGATGACAACGGCTGATCGGGGGAAACGAAACAACGGTCCAATACGAACGGAGAGAAAGGAACGGCCTCGATCGGAAGGCCTCGGGGAAATACGTTTCCGGTGGAGAGCGACGAACGGCTGCCGAACGGGCCCGAAGCTCCCACCGGAGATCGGTCGATCGAAAAATTGTATTCTCGTCGTATGTATGCATGTATGCATGTATGTATGTATGTATATATATATTATCTGTCGGTGAACAAAAGGCGTGTGTATCATTTTCACGTTCGATCCTGTGCACAGAGACAATGTTTACACGAAGCCACCGGCGAAAGGGGTAAAGGAATTGAAAAATCTCGGTTCTATTATAGTCTCTCATACGCGTTCAACTGTGGTAAACATCTGGAAAGTTAATATCGTAAACCTGTAAAACTAGTCAAGTGTAAGGCACTGTCTATGCGCTCCCTTGAAGCAGCTAAGATCCATCCCGATCGCAAACGAAAAGTGTCGAGGATGCGAACAACGGACGTGTAAACAGAGTCGGTGTAACATTCGAATTCTTGTAACATTGTAAACTTTCTCTATTGATATGGACGATGATCTCGCGACTGGCGAGTCTTTAACACGCTATTTTATTTGTCGGCTGAGCTGTCGTGCGCGCCAGCGACGCGGTCTCGCGACTGCTTCGGAATAACGGAGAAACGAAGTTCTTCTGTTTCTCGAAAGGACCAGAGAACATTACAACTGTCGCTTCGTTCACGCGGAAAATTAGAATCGTTCACGTGGTATTGTTTACTTTTTTACTTTTCTGAAACGTTACTATCTTTCCAGTTAACGCGTCGATCACCGGAGCTAAATTGCTCGGCACAGTGAAATTATTTAGTTACATGTATAACTAAAGAGTAACCAAAGAGCCACGATATCGAATTATTAGAAATTCATTCTAACGTCACTGGCCTTCGTCGCGAAAGTATAAATAATGTTATACGAAACGCTCGAAATTCTCGTGGCGGTCAGTTAAGCTACACGAAACGAATCTGTGAACCTTAGATCAGCTTCTTTCCAACGTTTCTTCCAAACGTTCTGAATTAATCAAACGAATCCACGTGAAACTGGTACTCCGCGCGAATACAGTGAGGCGCGTGCATCTCCATTTCTCCGAAACAACCGCGTTCCCCTGCGAATCGCTCGCGCGCGCTTGGTATAACTCGGCGGTCTCGCGTCGCTGGCAACGATCGCGCTCCGTCGAACCGCCGCGATCGTTCCCGCAAACGCGATCGGTTGAAACTGTCGTCGGCGCGGGTTCGGATACGACAAGAGCAATTAGACGATTTTCCAACGACAACCTAAAGCGCTGTACAGTAATGACTAGAATCCGTACAAAGTCGAAAAGCCGCGCCGATGCGATGATCGAGCGCGCGTTCCTTCGTTCGAGACTCCCGACTTCCGTCCGCGACGAACGGGGGCCGCTGGAACGTTCTCGCGAAGCCGATTTACCCGTGTGACCGTGGTAGAGTCGCAGAATTAGAATAAAATCGGGCGTCGCCTCTCGCAAAACGGTAAACCGGAAAAGGGGGGAACGTGTCGCGGAGCGTAACGCT